AGCGCGGACACCTGGAAACGAGTGAAAGTGGCCCACCGTCTCTCTGACACGCCCTCTGTCCCTTCACACATGCCGGGGCGGCGTGACCGTCCGAGTCAGGAGAAAGGCATTTTAGTGTTTCCGAGCGCTCGACTGCTCATCCTGGACCGAAAGAGCTGGCCGAAAGACTGATTACTCATAACACGGTGTTTTTCCAGTCACCGAGTCATATACTGCATACAGATATATTCAGCATTTTCCTTTTCTCTGTCGAGCATTATCTCAAAGCGCTTTTCAACGGGTCACTATCCTGCACGACGCCGACCAGAGCAACGACAGGAAGAGACAAGGACGTTTTGCAATAGGCCAAAGGCTATTAGGACCAACCAGGTTGTTTGCATTTCAGCAGATATGTGCTAGGAGGATCTCCCCATTCGTTTTTTTTTTTGGAAGACGCCAGGATATCAACTTTAACAACATGCAGGGCTCTGCAGCTTGTTCCAAACCCCCACAACCCTTTGTGTAAAGGAACCTCCCCTGTTCTGATAGGAGGATCTCATCCAAATATTTATTGGAAGACACCAGGATATCAGCTTCAACTTCAGTTTAGTAGCCTGTTCCTCGTGTTTTTCATTTGAAAAGTGCTTCTTTGTAAAGGGATGAGTGGGAGGCTGAATCTAAATCACTATTTAGTTGTGAATTTAATCTTTCTCGTTAAATAGAAGTCACGGCACATACTGAAACCCTAACATTTCCGGGCCTTAGGAGATTTTTTGGAACCCGTTCATAAAACATTTAAATAATCCAAGAGATTTACAGCTGTGTTTTCGTCACGCGAAAATGCGTCGGAATTTTTAAGGCGCCGCAAAGGAAAAAAATCTCAATGCTTGTTTTATAATTTTGACAGGCATGAAAATATTTTTTGATTTTATTTGAATGGAGGCTATACAGTAATTGAGTCGTAACTTTAGTGTGACCGGGCCCCTGTGCCTTCTTCTTACTCTTGTTTCGGGATATTTTAAGAATAAGAAGAAGTCTCTGAAACTAAAGTAAAGTTGTTAAATGCAAAAGTGACATTCACGCAGCCACTGGCTGAGGTGTGTTTCCGTCTCCCCAGCCACCCTGTACTGGATGAAAGCGGAAGATGGATGGATTCATTTTAATTGATTAACCGATGGATGAGCTAACTTTGTGCTTCGATTTAGATTTACGACGCGTGTATAATTTTATGATATCTGAAAAGCCTACACCCCCCGAGACATTTTCGGCAGGAGAGCGGATGTGTAAGAGTTTGTTAGGAAGGCGTTTATAACGCGTCTGCCGTTCAGAACTGCAGGCCCACACGATGTAAGCCACGCTGTTGGGCTCTTTTCCGTCTGGCTGTTTTTAGCTATGAAAGTTGTCCGCTCCAGTGCCAAGCTTTAGGTTAGCCTTTAAAGCTGTGATGTATTAAAAGGCTATATTACGCATTTTTATAAATAGCTCTTAATCACCGAAATACCCCGTCGAGCAAAGCTTAGAAAACCTCATTCTGCCTCCACCATGATCTCTCCACTTCTGATCCTGCGGTTAGCGTGACGTATCCTACCGCTTTAGCTCCGTTTCCAGGTTAATTGCTCTCCATTAAAAAGCTAAACGGCGGGGTTTAAGTTGTCAGTAATGCTTGTCTTTAAAGCCCTTTTCCGCGTGCGGTTAGCTAGTTCTTTTGCGCTTAGGAAATGTGCTTCTGCAATTACAGAAATGTCTGTCTCCCCTCTCCCGTCGCGCCCTCCAGCTCCCTGCGGATAATGTTGTATGTACTTGCGTTTGCTTGGAGTCGTTTTTATACGTTTTGTTCTATGATCCGACGGGTTTAAATCCTACCGGATCCTTTTTTTTTTCTCTCATGTTTCTGAAAGTTTTAAGCGGAAAAGATCTTTAATTTCTTGTACATTAGTAGACCCCCCCACACACACACACCCCTAAAGCAAACAAGAAGGAAAAGGCGCTGGTTGGGGCTTCGACTGTGGACTGTCTCCGCTTTGTCTCATCGCGCGGCCGGGAAAGAATGTTTGTTCGGGTTCTGTCACCTGTTAGGGGTCAAAGCCACGTCACGCCCGTCCACGAACACTGCAGATAATGCTCTGAGAAAATTCGATTTTTATATAAGCAAATGCACGTGTTCTTGTTTATGTAAAACCGTTTTTAAGGCAAGACATGTCTTTTTTTTTAATCTGGTATTTCTGTCGGATGGAATGCCCGCGAGTTAAAAAAGGCAGAAATAAACAAGGTGGACGCATTTAAAGAAATAAACAACCCTCTTGCCGGCCCAGCCTTCTTCCTGTGCCCTGGACAGTCGAGCGTTTTTGTTGTTATTCCTAGCTAATTCTGAATTAACAGGCTCCTGATGTGCAGAAGCCTATGTTGTTCGCCTCTGGGAATTTCGTGGAAGCCTTATCGTGGTCAAATCCTTTAAGTACTAAAATGTGTAGGCTCTTACCCACCCACAACACAGGATGTCCCGATGGTTCGAATTTAGATACTTTGTTAAGGCCTCTAGGTGTTCGATTTGCAAAATCATCAATTTATCGCATCATCGAGTTTCAGATTGAATACAAAGCAACTGTCAGCAAACTTTTATAGACATAGGCTGGTGTATATGTTGTATCATGTACATAAACTTTTGGGGTGACATTTTACGTATTGCTTTTCAAGTCTGCGTAGCTAAAACTAAAAAAAATAACATTACTAAACTAAAAACTAGCATTACTATTCACTACAAAATTCCTACAACCTCTGATCAACAAGGACATGCTCGAGAAAATAGTTTCAAATATACGTTTACACTCCAAAGAAAACTGGAGAAAACAATTTACTTTTCGAACAAAAAAAAACGCACGTTGTGTGTTTTAAACACAACTTGTATTTGTCCTGACTTAAACTCGTGTTTAGAAAAAAAATAGTTCAAATCAAAATGCTGTTGTCCTAGTCTGAAAACCAATTTGTTGTGCTCAACACACTTTTTCAGTGTGGTGAAAGAGGGACTAAAATATTATTGGTTTTAAACACACGACTATTAAAACATTTAAATCTTTGCGGTTTGTTGCTTTTAAGCCTTATGATTGAAACTGTAACCTGCCAGTATGAGTCCATAAATATGAACACTGAACAAACCCTATTAGCAGGTCAAGAATATTTGTTTCTGTCTTAAAAAGTTCAAAAGCATTGCGTGACCCAAAACGAACACCTCCGAATTACAGCAAGCAAATTAATATGAAAACATAAAATATCTAAGCGTTGTATATCGTTCTCCCTGTCCAGGAATAATTTGTTAGCGCAGGAAACGTCTCCAATCATATCTGTCTTCATTCCCGTTGTGTGACACAAAACCTGTAAGCTTAAGCGTAATGTATTGCAAATTGCTTACTTGAAAAGACCTTAAATATCAACAGTATTTAGCCCGAGGCATAACCGTGCTTCTCTTTCTTTGGATCTTTAAAGTGAAGGGGAAAAATAATCACAGCCATTACTGACTGCTCGTATAATCTTTGCAAAGCATCCCCAATTTATTTTTCCAAATTAATGCTGGACGGATATTCACATTCACTGCTGCGGGGCAGGCGCGTGGTAGGGGGTCGCTAATAAGGACACACATTGCTGCTCAAAGCGCGCGCACAGGCTTTGATTCCTCTGCCAGGTGGGGGTCTGTCCGCGGAGAAAGACCGTGGCCCTTCCTGCGCTGTCCAGTCGGTGGACACGCCCGCTTTTGGGCCAAATCGTCGACCCGGGGACTTCAAGGGAAGTAGAAAAGGAGTTTGTCCCTTTTCGTCCGTGTTTATGAGGTCAGGTCAGGCCAGTCCCGTGAATGCGCGCTAGCGTTAAGAAAACAACACAGAACATGAGTAAACTTTTCGACGCCCGGTTGGCAGGAGTGTCCCAAGTCCTCTTTTCTCAGAGAACATAATGAATTCAATGAACCTCGTCATCACCTTAACATCGCAAAAAAAAAAAAAGAAAATCGTAAGAACGAAATATACTGAACATAGTAACTTTAAAACTCTGAACACGGGTTCGGTCTCCCGTCACAATTTTCTTCTACACGAAAAATGAGCAGCAGCACGTCGCGGTGTACCTAATAGACGCTGTTTGTGATTAAGTTGTTTAATGGCTTAAGTGGAGGTTTACAACAAACGCTAACCGAATTTACAGAAAAGGCGTCTACAGCCCTTTATCTGTGACCAGATGGGCTGTTCACTTGTTAATGCTCCGCTGTTAGCTGCTGCGGCGTTATCGCACAACTTCAAGGGGCCGCCGTTTCTACAACACTCGGGGTAACTAACGCTGCCTCTCCGCCTCGGGTAAAATTGATCATCGCGCACTCAAATCGAAACCGGTAGCTACGTTATTGCAGTTTCGTTAGTAGACCCGGTCACTCAGATACCGCCCGGAGACGCCTGGGGTTCCTCTGTTGCCGGGGGGTATCCGAGAGGCACGTTGTGGTGTCTGGGCACAGTCTCGTCGCGTTCCATCGCATCGTTTGGCGCAGGAGGTCTGCGCGCAATCGGCTTTTATAATTAGGTCTTTGCCAATCTGTAACGATTATATCACCTCTGCAGATCCACGGCAAGCCTAGCCAATCGGTCGAAAAAAAAGGCTTTTAATTGAAGACAGTCAGGCAGCTCGGACAAAACAACTAATACTTCTCCAAGAGATGATATGTTCTGTTTACTCCTTTAGCAGGATCCGATGTTAACGTGATTATTTACACACACAAACACCAAAACTGTTTTTAAAAACCTCTGCTTGAGCCAGATATTATCTGCAAGTCCCTAGTCTGAAGAGACAACTGAAATCGTTATGAATTCACACGGAAAAGAAAACGGATATAGTTCTAGTATGCAGCTTACCTCAAACAAACAAGAGCTCAGGTAAAAAAAAAAAAAACACCCAATATGTTTTTAAAAAGAATATCAGACTTACTGAACGTGAAAACAAATGTACACCGCAAAACATGTTAAATACACGAAAGGATTTGTCCGTACCTCTAACATCGACGCTGCCATCCCTGAGATAAATCCCAGCTCTTTTTTTGTAAAAAAAAAGTGGGCTGTTAGTCTCTTCTGCAGAAACAGTCCCAGGACCTTTGGTGTAGCTACTGCAGGAGCGCGGAGACTTGAAGAGGGACGCAGGACCCGCCTTCTAATTGCGGGGTCCGCTGCCTTTGAAGCACCGCCAGGAACCAATCGGACAGAGAGAACGAAACTCCGCGGCTTAGATTCATTGCTCCTTCCCCCTGGGGGTTCAAGGAAGGACGGAAACCCGGGAGAAGGGGGAAAAACGAGGGACGCAGTTGCAAATAGGAATCGCTAGCAGCGAGGGGAGGAAAAGGTTTCCAGTGCGCGAAGACAAGAGGCGACGCGCCGGGCGGTGCGGGGAGGCGAGACCCGCCAGCGCCTTCAACCGGCGGGGGCAGCCTGTCAGACAGCACCGGGGGTCACAGGGCGCAGAGCCGAGGCTTGGGGGTTCACGCTGCTGCCCCCAGTCGTTCACGTGTATTATTTATTCGGCAGGACAGCCGTTTACCCAGGCTGCGTCTTGGACCGTCTAGAGCCCGAAGTCTGACCTTGTCGTCTTTTTTTTTTTGTTGAAAAAAAAAACAGTTCTACTTTGAAACCACCACTGTTAGGAGTGACACAGAACATCTGCCCGTCTGTCCAAATAATCCAAGAAAGTGACACACAAAATGGATCTCGGTGACGAAGCGTTTGTTCACAGCCTAAGCTTATTAGGTCTGCGAGGACCTGCATTTCGACCCCCATCTCCTTCCTGCATAAGTCCCGCAACAGTCTAATAAATTATTCCTATTACACCTAGACAGCAGTGGTACCTACTGTAACGGAATGACCGTCTCTCAGAAGACGCCGTGGTTTATGGGGTGGGTGAATATTAATTAGCTATTATTTCATGACTCATTGTGATGTCTCCTCTTCACTTGTCTGTTCCACAGTGCTGTTTACGATGATAAAGAAGTCAACAAAAGCACTTCTTATTTTAAGCAAATGTATTATTTAAATCAGTGTAATGATTAAGCAGTGTTGCAGTCTACATAATCGTACTGACTAAACAAGCGGCACCATCCACAGAAGGTTACAGTGTGCTATCTTTCGGTTCTTAAATAGGCATAAATACCCGATTAAAATGGTTAAATCTTAATTTCGGTGCCCCTCAGGGTGTCTAACAAGACTGCCACTTAGGCTGGAAATCTCTTCGAGTTTGTTTAAAATGCAGAATAAAAGGGGGCCCAGAACCCACAGGAATAAATCAGAAGAAATGAAGATGGTCGAGTTCGCGGTTTCTGTTTGAGTTTTTACTGTTCGGTTCGTGACCTCATTCTGTTTCCAATACTTTTAAAAACACATTTAACTGCCTCATCCCGGCCACTGATGTTTAAAATTACACCATTTTATGAAGAAGGGAGAAAAGAAATATAGTACGAGTTTAAAAATGCTTTAAACTATGAAGTCGAATTGTACTTAAATGTTTAAATTAAAACAGGAAGCGTGTTCTTCAAAGTTTTTTTTTCCTTCTCCAAGGCTCACTAATTAATGTACCAGCAATTCCAGATCCAATTTGCGGACTAAATCCACTAAACATTTGGAAGTATTTTACAGTTCATGTAGTTAAAATCCAATACACATTTCAAAGACTTAAAAATAAAAAGATTGAAGATGTATCGTGTATATATTAAAGGCTATTTTTTTTTTACAACGGATTAACCGCAGTATGGATATAAACACGCAATAAGAAAGTCTACGGTCGAGAAACGGCTCAAATTTTACAAAGCGATAAAATATCTGTGTGTAACTTAGTGCTTTTGTGGTATTTATTGAAATATTTTACTGCTTTCCATTAAAAACATCCATGAAGTTGCGCATTGAGATTATAGGTTAAAACAGAAATCATTGTAAAGGCCTATTTATACATTTAAGCCGAATTTTCGACACATCAGATGTACAGTATATCAGTATTTTTTTTTCTTTTGCTAATTATAGTGCACGTCTGGGTAGTCTTAAAACCTCGTGCGCATTGTTTTACTGAATTATTTGAATTGATCCTGGGATTATAATATTTCTTAAATGGACCCTGGATTTCTTCGTGCAGTTTAGATCGTTCGAAAATGATTCCAATTTCAAAAATGGTAATAAATATTATTTAAATTAGGCACCAATTTCATTTGATTGCAACGCCCCGTGCAATACTGTAAAATTATTATTATTTTTTTAAATTTGGTTTTCTGTTTCTAGTTTCAAAAATCATTGACGATATGGATCGGAGTGAAATATATCGATGTGGGATCCTTATGTGTGCTTTATATATATAATATTAGGTACATGTGGATTTTTGCTTCGGTTATAATCTATCCTCCCTAAATAAAATAAAATCGATTAATCGAAATGCTAAGCATTTTACATTGCACTTCTGTCAACGAAATCTTGTTTTGCCCGTCTCCCTGGCTACAGAGTAGAAAATAAATGATTTAATCAAATTTAATTTGTAAATAAAAAGAACGCCTTTTGCAAGTTTAACTGTGATGGGGTTTAACTATGATCAAGCTCGTGTTTTCGATATTTATTGTACCTACATCACGTCACCAGTTAAACCATAAAGCCTCATTTATAACCGTAACTCATTCCCTACAGAAAATAATATAATTAGAGTGTTTGCTGATTTGAAAGTCCATAACGCATGTTTTCATGCCCGTATAGGCAAATTTATTTAGATCAATTTAGATTCAAGGCCAAATCGAGTCTAGCAATGGAAGTCAAATTAAGGGACTTGCACATTTTATTCATGTCATTTTTAAATACTTTAAGTCAGGTTAATATTAATGTTAGATGTTGGCAACAAATAATACCGTAGAACCATTTCCCCCAAAAGATCTGTAACTGTGATTTCAGAATTCATCAGAATATTAAAAATGTCCCCTTTGAAGTGATAACACTATTTTAGATATTAGTGACATTCGTTTATCTGGTATCAGTCATTTATAGGTAACGATTTAAACGAGGAAATTGATTCGTTCTAACTGATATGGATGCAATCGAATACGCCCTTTTAAATTAAACGTTTGCAAAACGCAACAACAAAAATAAATCTAATAAGATACATGTTGATGTAACTATATATTGTAATAATATATATTTTAAATTGAAAACCATTTTCTAAATTTATATCAACTGAAAAATAAAAAATAAGATGAAGAAGCATTTTTAAAAAATTCAAAGCGCTTCATGTAGAATGTATCTTCCGGTTTGCGTTTTAATGTCTTTTAAACTAAAAGTTAACAGTAGAGCTGGAAAAAAAAACTCTCAGGGGCCCTCTGGAACGAAGTTTAAATGTGTGAAAAAATAAATGTCTAAAGTTTACATAAAGTTTACATACATAAAGACATAAGTTTAAATGTTTAAATGTGAACTCTCTCAGGATGGATCTTTAGGACCTTTGTCTGGGTGAAGAAATGTATGTATGTAATATTACAGTATAGACACACCGATGTAGATGTATGCAATACATCTTGCAGTCGGTTATATAATATACACATATTAAATATGAGTACATTACTAGCTTAATCACTTCACTAGACTAGAGCATTTCGGACTGCTGCAGTGAAGACGGTATCTCTCCTCTGTGGTTGGGCAGGTCAGTGAGTTCGGGTCCAGCAGATATTATCACACCCAGTACCTTTGCACTACCAGAGATAGAGAACAGCACCCTACCAAGTGGGTTGTCCAGGTATCTACCAGTAATACATTCATTATAGCAATATATAGTATATGATGTAGCCTGCACTCTCAGCTGGAACAAGTGGTCATTGAAAATGAATGGATGCTGTGTGTGCTGCGCTTGTCTCATTTAGCCACAGCAGAAACCTGGATGTTTAAATATGCTGGGAGCAAGACAGGGCTACTTTGGCAGCCTGTGTAGCGCCGCAGGAGAAGTACCATATTCTGTATTCAAGATAAAGGAAGATTACTGGGCCTGTGAACCAGCCTTCTCCCACATTTGTCTCTGCAGTGGGTGATCGTGATTGTGCATTAAATAACCCTGCCCCCAAAATGAAACACAAAATGATACACAGACTTAAATGACTGAAAGTTTTATTGAAACATGAAAGAAATAATCCCTCCCAGCTACCTTTCCACTTCGGATCAATTGCCGGTCCTTTGAAAGAGCCGTTCCTAAATACTAAATGATCCTCTAATTTGTCTTTTGCAACACGTACACGCAGTTCTCGTGTCCATTTTCGGCTTATTCCGGACGTCTCGAGATAAAAACAGGGAAATCATTCTGTTTAAAAAAACGAATCCGGGAGGGTAAAAGAATGAAGAAATAAACCCAGATTTTTTTGTTTTGCAAATGAGAAATGCAATTCACATAAAAATATAGGAGGGAGGTGTTTGCACACAGTCCCCTGTTTGAGGCTTTATAAAATTGTTATCTGTGTAATTCTAACGGGTTCATATGTCCATGCGCACCCTGGCACATTTTTGATCTGTCAAACTATTTTGCATGCCAGCTCCTATTGTTTATGATATCGTTTACCATGTAACAGCCTTTTCATTAGAATAAGTAGCTTTTTTAATAGGCTTACAACAACAGTGATCCAGTCCTGCACTGGATAAAACTGGCCAGGGTCTAGGGACTGGGGAGACCGGACTGTAAAACAAAGTTCACAGTAATGTTCTGCTGTACTGTGTTAAACAATGCTAAAGCACAGTGCATTTATTTCAGCGACGAAATAGGAAATTCTTGTCACTTGCCCCCTGCTCGTGAGATTAATGTTGCAGAATATGAACTGGGCAGAGTGTTGCTTGAACCGAGGTCGAGGCCAGGAAGAGGGGCATCTTCCTGGCCTCGGGAAATCGGGTCTCATCCCGTTTGTCCCTTTGTGGTTAAATCAGTTCAGTGCTGCGTCCCTCCTCGTCGTCGGGCCCTCGACCTTCCTTTTCTCGACACCCGCCTTTCTATTTCCCGTTCGAGCTCACTCGCGTGGTGTTTTACGACAGAAAAAAAAAATGGACGTGGCCGGTGATGCGCGTGCTTCGGGAACGGGTCTGGCGGCAGGTTTAAGCTGGAAGTCTGGCGGCGGACCGGCTTCTCCTCGGTGTG